ACCATAGCCAACGATTCTAGTGCTCAAAACGCTGTCCCAGGTCTACTGAAACCTCGCTCCAATCTACACATTGGAGCCTTCAACGCCCACAAACTATGTTACATTGGTTAGCAGGCATCCTTGGCTAAAACCCTAGAATCTCGTACCATTGATGTATGCTGTGTCTCCGAAACACGCATACAGGATCCTAGCGTGGTCATTCACTTGACCTGACCTGGGCAAGACGGAGAGCCGACGAGATACACCCTGCGTGTATCTGGAGACCCGACGGCTAGTTCTCGTGGACTGTCAGGTGTAGGCATAGCAGTAAGCATGAGGGCGGAACAAGCACTATTAAAGTGGATCCCCGTTAACAGTCGTCTATGCGCTGTTCAGCTAAACTGCTCGGAAAGATAGGGACACACGTCGTTGCATTTTCTTCGTTTCTGCCTATGCTCCCACTGACTGCAGTTCGGATGAAGTGAAAAATGAATTTTACAGAAAGCTGTCTGAACTTCTTCAGAAAGCTAAACGTTCAGACATAGTACTCGTAGCAGGTGACTTTAATGCCCAGGTAGGTAGCTTAAACGAAACAGAAAGACATTTAGGTGGGTATTTTGATATTCCGGCACAGCGAACAGATAATGGTGATCGTCTGCTGCAACTGTGCTCAGACAATCGTTTATTTTTAGCAAACACAAATTTTAAGCATAAGGAGAGACACCGTCTGACATGGCGACCCCCTGCACCAAACCAACGATGAACTTTAATAGACCATATTGCCATCAGTCATCGTTGGAGAGGATCGATAGAAGATTGTCGCTCATTCTGTAGTACCTGCTTGGACTCCGACCATGCCTTAATACGAGCACGCATCTGTTTGCGCCTCACTGGACGCAAAAAAGTCTCATTAGAACCGAATTGAGTAATGAGAAAAGCAAAAGTAGGTTCCAAGAACAACTGAGGTCACACTTAGGTAGTTCTGAAAACGAGGCTGACCCAGATGATGCGTTATTTCCATCAGTAGATCTATGATGAAGTTAAACAAAAAAGGAGAAAGTGGACAGCCTTGACGGACACCACTTGAGGTTGCAAAAGCAGATGACAGTTCGCCATAAGCTCTGACCCGACTAGTAGTGTTCGAGTAAACAGCCTTCACAAGGTTTATGTACTTCTGAGGTACGTCTTTTAAATGAAAGACACTGCCACAGAACCTCTAGGTCTACAGAGTCAAATGCTGCTTTTAAGTCAAGGAAGACCACCATTGTCGGACGCCGATAAATATGCCTGTGTTCTAGAACCTGACGAATGATGAATGTGTGGTCTATGCAGAGTCTCTTGGTAGCACTGAGTAACAATGCCAGAATGTTTGAGATGCGCTTCTCTCCCTCTAAATGCAAGTTATTGCTTCAGGACTGGTCTGTGTCAACACCTGAACTAAGGATAGGGAGTGAAGTAGTTGAACGCGTTGACAACTTCACTTATCTTGGAAGTCTGATCAGCCCCAATGGGTTGGTGTCTGACTAAATGTCAGCACGGATTCGAAAAGCTCGTTTGGCCTTTGCCAACTTACGTCATCTATGGCGAAGGCGAGATATCCGTCTATCAATAAAGCGACGAGTATACTGCGTGGCAGTTTGTTGCGTTCTACTATACGGTTGCGAAACATGGCTTTTAAGAGTAGAAGATACTCGTAAGCTACAAGTATTTAATCACAAATATCTTAGAAATATTGCTGGGATCAACGGGTAAGTAATAGTGAGGTATTAGGGAATGATTGTAAATCAGTTGATGAGGTTCTGAATCTTCATTGATTGAGATGGCTGGACCACGTGTTGCGTATGCTTATACACCGATTACCACGATGCATAATGCTGACTAGTGTTGGGGATGGTTGGAAGAAACTTAGGGGCTACCAGACCAAAACGTGGCATCAGTCCTCAAAGTCACTAACTTCTAGTCTGAGCCATGTTGGTAGATGCAGACTGCCTGGTTGGGGTCCGCGTGACTATCGTAACCAATAGTTGAAGACTCTGGGTGACATGGCTCATAATCGACCACAATGGTGTAGGTGATTACACTCTATTTATTCCATCAAACTAAGAGATTAAAATCGCTTCATATCTTCTTTTTTAAGTACTAAATCTTCCTGTATTATATCCTTATACAAAATCTTTTTATATATTACCACCACTGAATCAACTACTTCTATGAATCTGGTGTTGATGTTGTTGTACTAATGAGGTATGGCAACTTGGACCGATGCATATATGTGCCTGGTCTTGCGTTGCAGCTGATTGACTGAAATATAGCTCTTAATTTTTGATAAGTCTTGCAACTTGAACCTTATATTCTTTTCCTAAGCTATTTTGTAACCCTCAATCTAGAACTACACAGCAACCTGAACACGAGAGAAAAGGCGCAAAATATGCGAGAAGCACTGTACTTCAAAGGCTCATTTCAATACAGAAAACATAGGGTTTCTATATTTTAAATGTCCTTGGGTTGCTCGAAGATTCTGGAATGCTACTAAACATAGCAGCAGTATAGCAGTTAGCCAATCAGAAACTACATGTGACGTTTCACTTCCTTCATGTTTTGGCTAAAACTTCAAGTGAACGCTGATTGGATGAAATGCTTCTTAATGTTTCCCGACCCTTGTGTATCTTTTGCGAGTAATTTTATGGATCATCCCAACAATTTCATAATGCATATGCCAATCATCCCAGAATTATTGCCCAACTTCAACACCAATTATCAGTTTAATCAGGCAAATAGTGAAGAGAAACAAAAGAAAGAAAGAATTAATGAGACTTCCTCTGACTAAAGAACGAATTATAATCTGACACAGGATCAAAGGTATTTCAGATTAGAAGTCTGATTAGCTTGTTAACGGTTAGATAACTTTGTTTAAATTCCATGCGATTTCATACTAACAAGCCTCATGATTGCACATTTTCTTAGCGTTTAACATAAAACCTACAATTATTGGAATTATTTGCATAGAAACTATATGATCTTGCCTTATTTTGTCAATTAAGTGATCACTGAAACGCAATAAGTAGATCTGCTGATCTCAATTAGTTATAGCTCAAATGGAAGATTAACCTTCAAATAATTCAATCTAACCTTGATATTGTAAAACCTACACAATTAACTGGGTTTTTTTTTCAACACTCTGATGAACAAACTTGGTAATTATACTAAAATTCCTTACAGAGAATGAAGAAAAAATTCACTTTCTAATGGATTATTTTATTGCATTTAATCATCTAGCTTTATTTCGTTATGATTAAATATGAAAAATTATCAGAATAATTCACTTGATATTTGTTGAGTGTGACGCAGTTATCTACCTTAGACAATGGATGAAGGGTTGTTCAAGATCATCGATCGATTAAAGTTAGACCTTAACACCGTTGGATACTGGCGCAGTAGTCTAGAGGTTAAGCGTTTGTGCGCAAGACCGAAGGTCCTGAGACATGGGTGCGCACTATTGAGAAGTCCCATGCTAGAATGGGACGGCTACTCAGTACTTCCAGGTTTTCAATAGTACTCTAGCTTAGATCGAATCGTGAATTCGACATTGAAAATACCACAAACCTCCAAACTGAAAAAACTTTATCTTAAAATAAACTTCAGTCGTGAAAACGATCGCATGTTTGTGCAGGCGACTGCATCACAGGCTATTATTACTTTAGCGAAATCTGTGGAGTTTGTTGAAATTTATATTTTAAATCACATTGTTCAAACATGGGGTGGTTACTCACTAATGATATTGTAAGATAGTTACTCGATGTAGCGAATTGATTGAAATTTTACAGCCCAGTGATGCAAATGTGAAGCACTTGCTTCAAGACCTGGTGAAAGTCCTCAAAACTACCCTTTGTGGTGGGCATGTCGATGTGCACAATGTCCATGAGTCCCTCACTAAGATAAAACAGCTGTCCAGTGCATCCTGATTTTCAGCAGTTGTCTAATTAACGTCGGTTCGCAATATAACTTATAAAGTTTGTTAGTGCTTTCTATTCCGTAAAGTAGGCCAGTTATAGCTTCATGGAAAAAGGTGTTACTTACAAATTACTTTTAACTGTGGTTCGAATTAATATCTTTGTATTTCGTCTTTCTAATATTCCTTATGAAGAGGTGATTCAATGCTAAAAGCGTTCGATATTCAGTCACTAAGTAGCAGGTTCAAGTGTCGCCTACTATAGTTGGGTGAACTAGTTTTTATCACTAACCTGAAAGTGAAGCATATGTATCTATATCTGGTAAATGAGTTAATAGTAATAAATACTACAGGCATTGTCTCATGTCGTCTAATTTCCATAATCCAGAAATGTATGATTTTTAGCATAATTATCAATATATTTTGTGTATATTCTCGTTGTTTTGTAATTTTTCTTTACCATGTTCAGAATTAAATTTATTAATACAAAGAAATTTAGTGGTTTAATTCATGAGTCAATTGAAGCTGGACCACCATGCAAAATCTGAAACCACTAGACGGTCGTTTCTCCCTAGTATCAGACTCCTTAGCAGTGCGCATCCATGATCCACCTCGCGGGATCCGAACCCAGGACCTTCAGTCTCGTGCGCGAACGTTTCACCTCTACACCATTGAGCTGACATTCAACAGTGTTAATGTCTAACAAAGAAATTTAACAAGAAATGATATAATTTTTTCTCTAAATTAACTCAATACAAATGGTTTTCAAAAAGAAATTATACCATCACACAATCTTAATCATCAATTACGTTCTTGGATGAAGAAATCTTTCATTGAACATGAGACGTTGAACAAACTTTTTTTTAAAAAAAAGAAGAAATATATTTTTCATTCAGTATGGAAAAGTAAACAACCTTCATTTTACAGTTTACAAAAAAATTTAAGATACTCATTATTGTAGGGTAGTAGTATATTCATGTGTGGAGAATATTATTATTATTATTATTATTATTATTATTATTATTATTATTATTATTATTATTATTAGTAGTAGTAGTAGTAGTAGTAGTAGTAGTAGTAGTAGTAGTAGTAATATTAATATTATTAAGAGTTCAGTTCATCCGAAACCGTCGATTTTCCATAGGTTTGTTTATTCTGTTTTAATTTAAACAAAATTATAGAAAAAGGAATTATTATTATTATTAAACATATATGAGTATACTAAATGATATGAGATATCATTGATATGTGTGAAATTTGAAATAAATATATTAGCTTCAATTGGTATTGTTGTTTTACTTGAATCTTCTCATTGATGTTTAGGACTGCAGTTGATCAGTCTCTTATTGATATATATGCATACTGTGAGTTATGCCTCGATATAGCCTTAATTCATATGCATTATATGCAAAGATATATAGTGAGAAGATCCAAATGAATCTAAAATTCACCCCCCCCCTGCACAAGCATGTGGTTATCAGGGCTCAGCAGCTAAGTCGATAATGTGATGACATTTGAGACGAACGGTACTGAGTTCGAGTGCCAGATTGAACATCAACTCTGAGATGCAGATACATCCAGCTGATGAGTCTCAAATAGAACGAAACGTGTGTCCTGAATTCAACTGATAACCACTACCCATCTGTGCTTTAAATATATTAGCGTTGATTAAGTAATCATAGGTCGGCAATGAAAGATCTTACCAGAAGGATCTTGGCTCAATAATCAACAATACTGGTACATCTGATGATACGATAACAATTAACATTGCTTGAGCTAAATTGAGACTATAATTTATGGCCGACATTTGAGCGATGCTAAAGTGACCTTGAGAGTATCTACCTACTTACTAGGGCTAAACGAAAGTTATAAGGCAGTTTGAAGAATAAGGATTATAATTTATAGTTGAGGTTAGGAATTAGATTTCGAATTTTCATCACGAACTGTCATGAGCTATAATACCAAGACGCTATTCGGTCAAATGGGTGAGTAAATTTTGCGCCAAAATCTGAAACCTGTTATCCTAAATCTAATTAGTTCGTCCATAAATTATATTCTCGCCATATTACCAATATTAAGATGCATTAAAATTAAACTGGTAGATTCTTCGATAATCCTTAACCTAATAAATGAACTTGAGTCTATAGTGCTAAAAATGAAAGACTGATTATGGCTAGAAACAGTCTTTAACATCACATGATATATGATATTTTTCATAAACGATCGCTGAACATTAACCAATGGACAACGACATGCTAAAATTCCTTTTTCAAACAACAAAAGTGATGAAATACATGTAATTTCAGAAGTTACTCTGGAACCGCCTTCTTGAAGACATTTAAACAACTTACAATAGGACTCATTTGTAATTAGTGAAGGATGTAGATATATGTATTTTACCTATGAAAAACTTAAATTAAGGACTATAGGAAATTAGCTTAGGCTTCAATATTGCTAAATAAAATTATGTACCCACACATACCAACTTGGAAGTGTAATAAAACCGGATAGGCTCTAGGATAGATCCGTAGAAGGATATGAATAAGTAGAGAATAAAGAGTACAATCAATTTATATATATTGATTGTTCGAATCTTCCATATATATATAGAACTGCAACTGAACAGTTTCTTTTGGCATATATGCATCCTATACCAATTGCCTCGATATTGCCACTAATTCACAAGCATTTTAATCAATGAACAGAACCGAGCAACCAGTGTATATGAATTAAAATTCACTCTGTTGCACGAAACAGTGGCTATCTGGACTCAGTAGCTAAGTGAATGAACCGATGGCGAATAGTACAGGGTCCGAGTCCCGGAATGAACATCAATTCTAGGATGCAGGTACATCCAGCTGACAAGTCTCAAAAAGGTTAAAACATGCCTCCTAGATTAAACTGTTAGCCATCATTCCTCTGCTAAGGAATATAACCAATGATATATCGATATAAGTCCAACGACAAAGGGTTTCATTGAGACTACTTAAACATAAGGTGTAAAAATATGATACAGTTAACGTGTCATCATACTTTACGAAGGTACTTGAGATAACCTCTTTATTTTGAATATGATGCAACTGAATTAATAGGGGTCAAAAGTTTATTGTAATTTACGGTTTAACTGGGAATAATTATGTAGTATTTTAATGTTCATCGATGGGAATGAAATGCAGATACAAGATTTTAATTGGGCTTTATTCACTGAACTGGAGCATTTAGTCGTGGCGGCTTTCATGATCTTTCTTGATAGCATCATCAGCAGGAAAATTAATAAGAAGTGAGTTATTAGAACTTCTCCACAAACGACTAACTACTTTTTCTGTTGACCTAGAATTCGATTAGTTGTTATCCATAGATGTGTGTAGGTCTGTGGTGAAATAAATCAAAGCACACATACGAACAACCGCTACAGATCTAAGAACAACAATCAACCTAATTCTAGGACAATAGATCAAGTAGTTAGTCGGTTGTGAAGACGTTCTAATAATCCACTTATTGAGTCTTTTGCTGATAATGCCGTCAAGAAAGACTGCAAAATACATCACGACTAAATTACCCAGCTCAGACAAAAAAACACCCTTGAAGCCCTAATCCTATGCTACAACTAGTCTCCATCATATCAAAATCATACAAGCGTAACACGCTTCTCGTTGTTGGGATACAAAGTTTTGAGTCCAAACTTTTTTCACCGTTAAGATTGACAATTTGATTAGCAGATATCAGCCACTGCGATACTTGATTTCTAAATATTCACTAAGATTATGCAGAGTAAACTATTCTACAAAGCTAAGTAATACATAGTTTTGGTGGATTTTGCTTAGATCTCAGATATGTTGAATCAATTGACAAGAAACTTTACATGACTGTGATTTCATACGTTTAATACTCATTGGCAAAGTGTTTCTTTAAATTATCGAATTAAATAACTTAAGAATAAATAGTTTTGATTGGACCTAAGAATGATCCGATTTCCAATTTTCTAGTTGATAACTACGAAAAAGAATGAAACCAATATCAAGCCCCCAAATGCCCTGGTATGGCTGAAAGTGGGGAGAGTCAGCCACCCCTCTTCAAACGCTCTCACATGGTCACGTGTATACAGCTACTGCCAGGGGAGTCCTACTCACTGATTTCTCTCAATGAGGGTGTTGTTTACGAAGTTGAGAGGATGAAAAGCGAATGTTCGTAGCTTCAACCGGGCTGGTGGACATGTAGAGTCCACCTAGGGGAGTTGGAGAATACTGATTTCAAACCAATGGTGCATTTGGGCTCCAATATCCTGAAGGAATAAATGGTGTATGAACCAATTGTTGGCCACCGGCTACCATGGGGCTGCATCCCCTGACGTTGGTTCTTTGCCTTGTGGGTCAGACCTTTAGTTCGAAGGCTTCAGGTGTGGCCCCCTAAGAAAACCACCTGGTTCGGTTTGTGGACCCGGGCAGTATCCAAGCCGTCACACAAATCGAATGATTTATGTGGCAAACATCTATTTGGTGCCTCCTTGTACCAAGGTTTATTTGTTTAAATAAATAAATAACCAGAAATAAAAACATACATCTGAAAAATTAACCATATCGATTTCATGATCCGGTTGTTTATTTGATCCATTCAATTTTGAATTGTTCAAATGTAGTTTATGATTTGGCGGTTCATTATTCTCAATTTTATTGAATTTTGAACTATTTTTAAAGTTAGAAGTAGGATCAAAATATTTTTTAATCATACAATGTTGTAATTGTTGCATTTTTTCTGTATTAAGATAATATGGTCTAGAAGGATATGTAGATGTGGGTTTCCAAGGTAATGTGATTGAATTACGATGACTTGTAAACATTGAAATATTAGGACATGTTGATTTCTGTATTGTTTCATGCTTAAACAGATCATGTACATTACCATTAATACCATTACTGTAAATATCATCAGTTTGTGGTGGTGATGATGATGAATATGATAATGAATACTTCTTTCGTGTTGACCCAGCACTATTACTGAGCCTTTTGTAAACAAAACAAAAAAAAAAAGAAAAACACTTTAGATAAGGAGTTTCCAGTACTGTCAATTTGTATCTCCTCATTTCCGTTGCTATTTGACTGGTCTACCCGGTCTACCACATTGTCTGGACTTTCCGTGTACCTATAAAAATTGTTGCGTTGGTTGTTAGAAGGGTCATCAGCCTCGTGACTTCCGAAGGAACTCGGCTTTCTTCATTAAACGTAATAACTCTTCTAAATGAAGACCATTTAGCTCCCAGATCACAGTTTAAATGATTTGGATTATTTTTTCTGGTTAGCCTTTTTTTAGCGAGTTATTTTTCTACGGGATGGGGTCGTTAACCTTATGCCCAACCTTTCTCCTTTACCTGGGCTTGGGACCGGCAGTAACTCTAAAGGAGCTACATGCGGAGTTTTAGATAAGAAATAGTTTAAGTTAAATTTTGTTTAGAGTATTTATAAAATTAAATTTCATAACAAAAGCAATCTCAGGTGATGTTCCTCATGTTTTTATAATATCGATATGTTAGATTGATTTAATCATTTCCAACCAGGAAATCGACGTGTTCCACTCATTTCTGTATACTCCCTGGAATAAGCAGATCACATATTTCCGTTTGATGAGGACGCTGATGTTATTCAAAGTTTTCAGAGCAACTTGACTAACAATGCAAGTATGTTTCAAGAGTTTCCTTTTACGTTGATTCAAACCACAGAAGGTGAAGTAGTTGTGTACATAGAGGGCACTCCCCGAAAAATCCGAAATATAAATCTTCTTTATAAAATATTTCAAACAGATCAGAAAAGATTAATTTAAGCAATAACCATGGGTGTATAAATACGTTCACAATATTGTACAAATTAGGAAACAAACTGACATTTTTAGAAGCAAATAAATCAACATAATAATGCTGCAGTGTGTGCTACTTATGTCGACAGATATAAGTAGTATGTATCATCAATCGAAAGTGAAATGCGTAGAGGTAGAAGGTTAAGAAGATCAAAGAAAAGAGAACGAGAACAAAGAATGATTGGTATGGAAACGAAAGGACAATCAAGTCTTGCTCAGCTACAAAAGAACGACAGATAATTAGCTACAATTTATAAGAGATTAGTTCATTTAAACAAAGCAATCTTATCTGATGATTACTGTGGAAATTCATGAAGAAACTTTCAGGATCACATATCAAGAAGTGAACATCCATATAAGATCTCAATTTTCTGTGTTAATGACCTATGCAATCTGAAATACTTCATCAACTGAATTAACCATAAACTCTATAGCAGACAGCTTCGAGAAGTTAAACAATTTCATCACTTAAGTGGTCACAACTAATATAGAGCCTGACACTTTATATTATTTCTCATTCACACATTCGCTTACTTAGAATCCTGAAGGTAAACAGAAAAGAGGAAGGCCAAACAACAACCAAGTCGGGAATCGGAAGCAGATATGAAAAGGATGAATAGAAACTAAATGATTGCTCAGAACAGAGTTGGATGGAGAAAGCCTGGTGGGCAGCCTATGCTCCTCTATGAGGGGTAACAGGAGCAATTAAGTAGGTAAATAAATAAATATGACCAAACAATCACTTGGTGACATAACAAAAGTTAATCCCACTAACTAAATATACCTGAGTTATACTAATTCAACTCCCCCTTAAATATAACAGTCTTCAATTATTATTTTGGATGTACTAGTGTGATATTCACTACTTATGCGGACAGAAATAAATAGCATCTAGCAGGAATTGGATGAAGGATGCTTAGCAGTAGTAATCGTAATAATAGTAAATTAATTTACCGTACATGAGTTTTGTTCACTCCCTGTGATATACTACTGTAAAACGGGCCAGAATAACTGTACTGGACACTCCTAAATGTATATAACCATATTTTTTTTATAAAACCATGATGAAAGTTTAAGTCATTTAAATGGTTTCATGTTAACTTGTCATAAAAATATTAGATGGATCAAGATTAAAACATGGTTACAATTTCAAACGAAATAATATACTTAAGAAACTAAATCAACGATTATATGTTGTTTTAATAGTTAAGATCATGAGTCAGTTGAAGCTAGACCATCATGAAAAACCTGGATGCACTGAACGGCTGTTTCGTCCGATTATGGAACTTCTTAGCAGTGCGCATCTACAACTGCCTTCAAGATGTATATCCTGGAGTTCTAGTAAGAAGCAGTGACCAGCGGAATTCAACCGGGTCAGCTGTGAGATAGTAACTCACTGATGACAATGGTGGATGTGTTGCTCAATTTCGTGGATTGGTTGAAGTTAGACATTAACACCGTTGGATACCGGCTAGCTCAGTGGTCTAATGGTTAAGCGTTCGCGTGCCAGACTGATAGGTTCTGGGTTCGAATCTTGCGTGACAGGATCGTGGATGCACACTGCTGAAGAGTCCCACATTATCACGGAACGGCCAGGTTTTCCATGGTGATCTAACTTCAATTAACTCATGATCTCAGCTATTGAAATTCATAAGATACACCATCAACAAGGTCATTACAAGATAATAATAATAATAAGAAGAAAAAAAATTCGATCAGAAATTAATCTTACCGATATTGAAATTCATTTCTAGAAGATTTTAACTTGATTAATTCATTATTATCAAAATAATTAAAACGATGAGTATCAGATGGTTTACGACTTGGTGCACGCCATGGTATGAATTTAGATGTATCAGTTAATGGAATCATTTTATCTATAAATTGATTATGTATAAAATAATGATTATTTCATTCTAAAATATACTTACAGTTTCTATTTATATCCTGTTTTTTATCACAGTCACCATGGTTACTACTACTACTACTACTACTACTATTATTATTATTATTTTTAGTAGTAGTGGTAGTAGTAGTAGTAGTAGTATTAATACTAGTATCAATATTATTGTTCTCATAATGATCCTGATGATTATTATTTACAAAATTCAATGTATGAGATCGTTTACTGAATAGTTCTTCTGAACACCTCTCCCTTGTATCACCACCATTTTCTTTATTGATTGACTAGAATTCAGGAAAATAAGAAGGAATCGATTCAAATTAACAAAAAAAAATAGTTGAATTTTATTGAATACAATAGTGTTTTATCATAGAAAAAGGGATATTAGTTGTGGAGAGATTTAAATTAAATATGTATTGAATATATATTTCTTATTTGAATATAAAACCCTTTTTTAAAATAATGGTTAGTTAGGTTATATGATTGTGTACTAAACTATTTACTTATAACTTCAATTATGATCGGGTTCGTATCTATCTTCTATCTTTTTCTTGTTTGACTGTTAACGAAGGAGAGAAGGAGCAATGCAACTCTATTGTTTGTTTTAATACATTATTAAAGCTATTAATCGCATAACCTCCTATTCAGGTGAGTTTCTGCATAGTGTACAATCTTGTGTTGTACAAATTACAAAATGTTCAATCAAAGATATCGTGGTTACTGACAATATGCAACGAAAAGAATGTATATTATTTAGATGTCGATTGACTAAACTATTAATATCTAACTGGCGATCACTCAATATGTTATCGACACGAACGACCATGAAATAAGAAACGGAAACTTGTTGAAATACTATGTGCTGAGAATTTTAAATGATCAGACTAGAATTTATAGCTCACTTTTGAATGACGCTAAAGTGACCTTGAGAGTGTGTACCTACTTACTAGAGCTAAATGCGTGTTATAAAGCGGTTTGTAGAATAAGGAATATGATTTACAGTTGATGGGTTAGATGTTAGGAATTAGATTTAGAGTTTTTATCACGAACTGATATCAGCTATAATGCCAAAGATCTATTTAGCCAAATAGATCGGTGAATTTCGCGCCAAAATCTAAGACCTGTTATCTTAAATCTGATTGATTCGTTCATAAATTAAAATCTTGCTAATTGTTCCTTTTAACGAATACATAAACAGTTTAAGATATATTTTCTGTCATTTTTCAATTACACAGATCTTTAAGAATCCATAGAATTCCAAAAAAGTAAACTGTCTATGAGTCCCCGAATGCCCTGGTATGGCCGAGAGCGGGGAGGGTTCGCCCTCCCTCTCGAAATGCTCTCACATGACCATGCGTATACAGCCTCTACCAGGAAAGTCCTACTCACTGCCTTTTCGTGGCGGCGTTGCTGTCTACGAAGTTGAGAGGACGAAAAGCGTATGTCCGGTGCTTTAACCAGATCCCAAATCAATGGTGCACATGGGCTCCAGTATCCTGAGGGAACAAATGGAGTATGAACCAATCGTTGGTCACCGGCTACTATGGGACTGCATCTCCTCACGATGCTCCACTGCCTTGTGGGTCAGATCTTTAGGTCAAAGGCTCGGGGTGTGGCCCTCTAATGAAACCACCTGCTTCGGTCTGGGCACCCGAGCAGTATCACAGCCTACACACAAATAAGATTTTGTGTGGCGCATATATATTTGGTGCCCTCTTGTACCAGTATTTATGTGTTCAAATAAAAAACCTTTTTTCTGTATCAGTCATTTTGATGAAATACACACATTTTATTAGCTTTGTCAATTTAACAAAGGTTATCTATCAAGGTTATTTAATTATAACAGCTATTGTTCGTTCATCAAGGCTGATGACATCTTACCGAAAGTGTTATACCTGGCATCGCTTCTGTTTTGTATGTATCAACTCTGTTCTATCCGCAGTCCTACTGTTTATACTTAGAAAGAGAAACAGTTGTACATCCAACGATGAAAAGTAAATTCACAAGAACTGGCACAAATGAAGATTTATTGACCCTCTATAAACACTTACCCAAAACAGGTTGTAAAATATTATACCATTAAACCGAATATACTCATTTATATGCTAATTTCACACACACTTGATGGATGACGATGATGTTAATGAACATCATATAAATGAAAACGATACACAGTTATACTTTAAAATACATATGAAGTTCACATAGAAAAATACAAAGAATAAAATTATAACACTGGACGAAGGTTCACAACGGTCATACTAATCAAAATTCACCATTTAAACAAACCCTATTCACCTAAGATAATGTTACACTGGAAAATATAACCTACACTATTGTACTTACTAAAACCTTGTATTGAGAATACAAAACTGATGTTAAATGCTACGTCTGGAATGAAGCTAATATCATAAAATATTGCACCGAGTTAGAGAAAACATGAACGTACTTTACCATAACTTATCAAGGAAGGGGAAATGTTTCTCCCGTAAATCAATAAAGGGAGTAAATTAACAGTTATGGTAAGAGAATAAAAACTTTTCCTAGGATTTGTAGAATTGTATGACTTATTTAAACAACAATCAAAAGATTAGGAAGCACTGAACAGCTGTTTCATCTTACTATAGAATTCCTAGACAGTACATTATAGCGATCCCTTTCAAAGGGGTACGAACTCAGAATCGCTAAGTTTCCCTGGAAACACTGAACATTTAGATCACTGATTTACACGTTCGATTTCAATTAATTCACGATATTACGCAGCCACATTTCAATAAATTCGTTGGTTAACTGTTTCAGCTGTGATATGGTTAGACTCCACTGGACACAGCTTCTCATCAGAATCTCAGGAATCACCTTTCGAAGTCATTCACTCGGGAGAGTAGATGATGCATTTTTTCGGGAAACTCCTCAGTAGGACGAAACAGATGTTCGCCATCTCAATGGTCGCCCAAGTATGGTTACAAATGTAGTGTAAACTAAAGAACTTTTCTCATTAAATGACATATACATGTTGTGTTTGACTATGATCGATTATATCAAATCATAAAACGTCATTATTATTATTATCATTAGTACTGTGATAAAATATGCTCACCCTCTCTGAAATATGAAACTGAAGATAACGTATGTTTTGAATATAATGCTTCTTCCAAATTCCAGGTTCCCATTGACTATGTGAAGCGATTAAATCCCATCCATATCTTAAACACTTCGATGCCCATAATTCATTTGATTCACTTAAATATCTCCAATACCATGATACCTAGAGAAACATTTTCAGGGTAAGCAGTGATTAGAAATATGAAACATACAACCTAACGACCTAAGTTGAAAAAGATTAAGAATATGACAGGATGAAGAGGCAAAATTACATCTTTAATTTCGATAGTGCAATAAGATGACGAAAGTTATCAGAATTATGTTATATATTTGCGCAATACATTTCGAACAATCTGATCACATATCTATACTTGTTAAGACATTTTCGTGTGAAAATTATAGGGTCAATTAGACAGGTTAAAGGTAAGATATAACAATAATAAAGTACACAAAGACAATGTGATAACCACTTTGGATAATAAATCAGTATTACTAGGGTAGGTTAAGGATAAGGACAAATTGTTTTTGAACGCATAAAAGGGGTTTTAATGGAGTTTTATTCTTTGAGCTGGATGATTTAGTTGTTGAGCTTTCAAATTTTCTCCACCATCTCATAAAGGGGGTTTCAGTTTCCGTTTAGTTAAGGCTTCAGTACGTCCTTGAAAGCTTTTGTACAACACCACATCTTTAATTGTTTATGATTCTTGTCCAAAACTAATTCCATATTCTAATTAAATATAATTATTAATCAGTGTGATGTTTATTAAAGATACAATATTCTTGTGTTAAATTAACATAAATCATTGTCAGCATAATATAACAGCATGTGATTTGTTATTATTTTGGCCATTTTTCATATATGTAACTTTTTCCTAATTTCACTGGTTGAAATCATGAGTCAATTGAAGGTAGACCACCATGGAAAACCTGGATGCACTGGACGGCCGTTTCGTCCTAGTATGGGACTCCTCAGCAGTGCGCATCCATGATCCCGCCCTCCGCGAGATCCCAACCCAGGACCTATCAGTCTTGCGAGCAAGCGCTTAACCATTAAACCACTGAGCTGGCCGGCATCCAACGGTGTTAATGTCTAACTTCCTGATTGATAACCAAAATTGTATACAAATCAATATGTAAATGACTGTATTTTCTACAATAGTCGTCATCGTCGTATTTTCGGGGTGAGTAAATCTCCATTTGTACCAGTCTTCCGTATTCTCAATTCGCGTTGTGGGAATAATAGTGCTTCCTTGTTTCATGAATAAGTAATAAGCGATGAGGGTATAACAGATTTAAAACCTGATCCACTAGTTTGGCACTTTTGCCTGATACTCCATTGTCTAACTTAAAGATTGCCCAATCAGTCGTTCCATAATACTCGAGAAGTTCTTCAAAGATATCCATAATTAAAAGCCTCCAGCTTAAGTAGATTCTCCACTTCCTTAGGTCATGTTTCATAGCTATAGAGTAATACAAAAAGGACCACTGTGCAGTATACTCGTCCCTTAGTTGTCAAACGGACACCTCACTACAAATGACGTAATTCAGTAAAGGTTAACCGAGCGTTTTGAATCCCAGTCGAGATTTCACCAATCCCTATTCACCAGGGATAATGAGACTTTCAAGACAAATAAAGTGATTAACTCAGTGAATAATTTATTCTGTCCAGTCAATTTAAATACTAGCATAAACCAGTTTGAAAGCAACATTCTGCATTTAAAACGAGAGAAAAGCATCCTAAACAAATTCGTTGATAGTTTAATGTAGAAAATGATTTTTAAAAATAACTTACAAGCAGAGAATCACTAGAAAATATAAAGGCACCAAAACGTTTCATTTATGATATTTTATAAACACTGATTAATGTTAACTATCGTTTTCTAATATTATGATAGAGTACCTCTACTTCCTCTTTAAACAACTTGTAATTAGAGAGTTTTGACTGAAACTTAGGTTCGATTTCTGGTAAGCAGTGGATTTCCAGTCAAGCTAGATGTGTATCAGGTATATCTAAATGGCCATTAATAGTATGTAGGATTAAGAAACAGAGGAAATAACATATGATGAGGTTTAAACTCTTGATTTTGAAATCATGATAAATTAAACTTTATCCACATAGAATAATTTGAATGTAGCTAGTAGTGGAATACAAGACGCACGTTTTTTTTTTCCTATTTAGGACTCGTCAGTTAAATGTTCTTGTATCCTGGGGTTGATATTCACTTCAGAATTCAAACTCAATCCATATTGCTTCAAACGCTAATGGGTTATCCACCTGGCTACTGAGTTTAAATAGCTATTCACCTGTACAATGGGATCATTTAAACCGTTACAAAGCAAATTAGTCTATTCATTACTTAATGTAAATGTTTTGAAGGTGAAATACTGAGTCTTTATTGTTTACTGTAATTTCTGGCGGTATGTCGCAGTATTTTCGACAAAGATACCGCTATCTATACTTCATGAAGAGGTTCACTCAAAAATGGTTTATATTTAAGTTGATTACTTTAATAATCAATTAAACTACCGACAAATGTTTGCTACTAAACTGTTTTTTGAACTAATTATAAATAACTGATATAACAAGTCAAAATATTTGCGACAATGAATGATCATATTATTGATGAATAACCATCAAAGAAATGAGTTTGTCTTTAAGTCAGCTTTATGCTATTCACTTAAACCATAGAACTACTCAAATCTATTCTTGTTTAAATAAGTACTTATTTATATGATTATTTATCAAATTTTATCCATGTCTAATGTTATATATGTATAACTATCAGTTTTCCTATTTATTCACGTAGTGTACTAAATATGTGGTTTTACAAGTTGACTCAACAGTTTACTTGATGACTGACTGACTCAGAAATTCATTCAACATATGATTGGTTTTTATATTTAAAAACCTAATACAATGACTGATCACTACAACAATTCATATACAAAACGCACTTTATAAATTTCTTGTACTTTCTATGCATGCGGTCTGGTGAACTAGTTCATTTAAAGAATATTCATTCTCAAGATGTTTTCTATTAACCTTATAATATCGCATAGTTCAGTTCATCGGATTATATTAAGAGGTCACTTTAGAGAATGTATGGATTTAACCAGAATCTTTAAATAACGGAACCAGAATATGTAATGTTTTAAGTAGTTTACCTCTAAATACGAACAAGACTCCTAACAGGAAGTTTAGTAAATACTGAATATTACATTCAGACAGCCAGTTCGTAGTTTGAAAACAGTTTGACACTCCTAAATGAATCCAGATAGTAAGTGGTGAATGAATTATTCGACTTCTTAACCCCTCTCACAAGTAATAATTAGAACACCCAAAGTCTCCTTTGTTTCATTATAAACAAAGATTTCAAGTATTAAGACACTTGAAAATGTCATTTTGAAGACCCTCGCAAGTTGTTTTGAAGCTGAGTTAAGATAAACTTTGGTTTTTAAAAATCTCTTACATATCAAAAGGTTTATGACTGGAATTCATCGACAGAAAAAGTGGTACTAATCCCTTTAATTGTTGAATTTAAAAATAAGCAAAATCACCGCATACAAACTTATTCAAACGATTGGGATTGATTAGAACGATCAGTATTCTTATGCTTGGATACAGAATATGCAATTGCATGTGTTACCTTTCTTTAGTTGTGAGCAGATTTTTTCAAGTTCATAATGACTACATAGAAAGTATTGATAACATTTTATTTTGAACGTGCTTCCTCTGTTCTAATTTATACTTTACACCGGTTATGCAACTAAGAACTCAAGCTATATACATATGTTATTCGTGACAATCAGTTTTTGTATTATAACAATGGATATAACATCAATAGTGTGTATTTACTGAGCTATTAATTTCCTTTTCTACTGTAGTGACCTACTTTTATCAAAAGAACGCAGTTGTTGTAATTGAAACAATTATTAGTATAACCAATTGTACCAGTAATTTTTTTACTGTACTTGTTTGTTTAACCGTACTAAACACATACTTCCTTCCGTTGGTTATGACCTTGCACGAGCTTACGTTTGCTCAGTAGTTCGGCTTGTACTCCTTTGGCACGATCTGGGTATTATTTCGATAGCACGAGATCGCCAACAAATACATCTCGCTACAACCTTCAATCTCCTTCTGATTTCTGATTTACTCGGAGGTCTAGCCTGTTCTGGTACGCAATCTTCTTGTAGTGGTGATCATATTCAAACGCGACTCGACGCCACACTACACTACAAACCTTCAAGAAATGTTTTTTTTAATATTTATACGAAATGTTAAGAAATTAATTGACATTATTATGAGTATATGAACAATATTGTTGTTGTCAACTGGCTTATTGAATGTCTTTGTAATAAAAATAGAGGACATCGAATAAATAGCAAACACTCACCTGTGCACAGCGACAGAGACTTCTAGGATCCAGAAACGAAAACAGGTAAATGCATAGAACTCTTGGTAGTATTCTAGTAAAATCTATTTGGTATAAAGGAATTTTATTTTCTATATTGTGAAAGAGTGATTCAAGTTGTTTCTGAGTGCATAACTCAAAAAGTTTTGTCATTAACTCCTTTCTTTGACTTTCGGACCATTTGGCAAACTAAAGATTATGTAAAACGCGATCTTATTTCATACCCAAGCTAAAATAAGGTTTTTTCGTTCCTCAAAAAGCTAAAACTGACAAGTAATGGAGGGATTAAACAAAACAATACCGTTTTATTTGCGTCTTTATTTACCAATGGAGTCCACGAACTCTTAGTTTGTATCATCTATAATGTCCAATATTTGAATTTTCTGGTCTATTCTAAATGTTTTTTATCGAGGTATCGAAGTAAAAATATACATGTAGAAATCTAAAAGAGAAAAAAAGATGTAGTTACAGTTATAAATGGGTACAATTGATTAACCGTCCAAGCAATTGGGCAATCTACTGAATATTATAAAATGGTATTTCTATTTTCGCCCACAATTCTGTGAATCTAATTGTGATGTGATACTGTTGATAATGGCTTATGTATTTTTTTTTATAAAACCAACTTATCGGTTCTTTACACCACTTACTATGTTACTCCTTCCACTTTGGGCCACAAATTTTTAAAATATCTAACGTTGTCTCAACCCCACTATTATAGTGACTTATTTGATTTATTTGAGTTACATGTAGTGTCCAGTTTTGTCATGTAGTTATACCTATGTGTTTTAAATCATATCTCTACAAATAAATTCTCTTTTGGCTTAGACTCAAGTCACTGACAGTAAATAAGTGTTGGCGAATTTGGATGGCTCACTAAACTACAAACACGTTTTCATAGTAATGGACAGTGCTACATAAAAAAAATGATCGATCAGATAATTTAAGAATCCAACTTTTGTTTCATGGAATGTAAATTCATATTGTTGGATCACATTGTGATTGCACATAATGCTTCATTTTTTTATGACTTTGGCAGGGTTAACAGCTCAAATATACATTTAAAGGTCCCTACAAATATGAGTTAGCCATGAAAAAGTATGAGGTAAGATACTGATCACAAATATTCAAACCGTTTGTTAGGAAGGATAAAATAAAGGTGGTCGACGATGTCAGCAATTTTGCTGAACAGTAGGTCATGTATATATACAGACGGATAATAACGTCATGGAATATTCATATGTTAACACGTTATAAGATGAATCTCTATCGCTTGCAAATAAGGCGCTCATTTTGCATGTCATCATACATAAATACCTTGAAAAAAGAAAACGTTTTGACAGTCATCATATGATGTAATGAGAAATTAGATAGTATTAACTGGTTTTAAATGTCAGTAACAACTTAAATGGCTTAAAAGACTGATTAATTTTGTAAAACTTAGTACACTGTGGAATCTTCATCGACAAAATTTTCACTAGCAACTGATAAAGCGCTGTGTTGAGTAACACTTTAGTGACCCTATAAACCCACCACGAGACCGAAAATGTCGACGCCAGTATAAAAACCACTGACATTTTTAACAAAAACGTGAGATTATAGTTTATGGGTGAACCAATTAGATTAAGGATAACAGGTTTCAGATTTTAGAGCAAATTTCAGTCATCCATTTGCCTGAATAGCGTTTTAGCAATTTAGCTTATATCTGTTCGTGGTGAAAACCCTAATTATAAGTCCTAACCTTAACCGTCAACTGTAAAACATAATCCTTATTCTTCAAACTGCTTTGTACTCTTAATTTGGACCCAGTAAGTAGATCGACATTCTAAGAGTCACTTAAGTGACTCTAAATTTAGAGTCGTTCAAAGCTCTCTTTACACCTACACTATTTATACTGAGTTTTCCGAATCATATGATCTAATTTCCATTTTCCTTTAGTATTTAATACATATATATGCATATGTATATATTTATTTGCATTAAACTGTAATATTAGCCACTAAAAGCAAATTTAAATAACTTGACTCTTTACGCAAAACACGCCAAACTAGGCATGAAAACAAATACGATTTTACCAAATGATTCACAACATATCATACCCAAAGACGTCAGTATGGGACTTATCAGTCATTGCTCATCACCTGTACCAAAGTAACGGAATGGTTAAGCAACCTATTTAGTGAACGCGGTTGAACTACACCGATTCACAATATTAAGACTTGGATGGGGTTGTGAATCAGCTATGATTATTCCCTATTCAAGGTGCCATGTATAACGATCAACAGAGGCGAAAAATATACATATTTTTCTCACGCGAAAAAGTTAGTCAACTCAACAACCACATTAAATGCGCTCATATTTATTCATGAAAGTAGTCTTTACCAATTTACAATGATAAAAATGAGAAATCAGAACTATTTGATAATCTAAACGATGAGTTAAAAGAATAAAGGTTCAAGCGCATTATGAAATAAAAGACTGAATGACGCGCAATTTACATTAGTAACCATTCTGTTGCCCAATAATCCAATATCATTCTTCAGTAAATTGGATAGTAGGTTGGTGAACCTGTGTTAATCTTGACAGACTGCCTTTCATTGGAGGTCCAGATTCTCCTTGAGAACGTTCACTAATTTAGCTGATAACAGTTGTCCGAGTAAAGCGTTGAAGTCATTGACCACTCGATGAGAAAAACAGAACCTTACTTTAAGTTTACTATGTCGCAATTTGTTAGCCTTCTTGCTATGACCTCGGAGATTGTTATTACCGGAGAGAGCAAGAAGATAAGACATATTAACATCCAAATCGTAATTAACGATACGAAATGCCAGTATAAGGTCACCTCGCGTTCTACGATACAATAACGGGGAAATGTTTAGGAGTTTTAAAAAGATCATTCACTAATTTTGTTCTCATACGCTAAACACGTTCAAATGAGTCGGCATATTTTTCTCAGACATGGGCTAGTTGCTTGAATACAGTACTCCAAATGTGATCTTACATTGGTGAGATATAAAATTCGAAACATTTCCCCGTCAAAGCTTTTGAATGCTCAGTGAAGTGACCATAACGCAAAAAACCCTTGAGAGCAGCCGTGTTGCAGTGCGCAGTTGTTTTCAATCACGACTTATTATTACTCCTAAGTCTACATGATCGAGCGCGTGAAAGAGATGCACCATCAATAGAATAATGGTGACTATTACTGTGTCCTATGTGCATGAGCACATTCTTCCCAGTATTAACTTCTCAGCCTCAACCACGAGCCCAGCTAACCAATCCATCCAAGTCAGCTTATAGATCAAAATGATCAGCCTCACTTCTTATTGTCCTCCAGATTTTGACATCATCCGCAAGCAATAATGTCAACGACTGAAGCAAAAGCGGCAATTCATCGATGTAGAAAAGGCGAAACAGTGGATCTAAGATGGTGTCCTATGGTAAGTCACATTTGACCGTCTTTCATTCGGATAGCGTTTGATCAACCCTCACTCTCTTTATGTGGTCACATGAGAAGTTTCCTACACATTTCTGTACAGTAGCTGTTATTCCGAAGCTCATGAGCTTCTGCACAATACCTAAGTGTGAAGCCTTGTCAAACACCTTGCTTAAGTCTATGAATACCACATCGACAGACTGATTGTTGTCTGGGTCGCTGTCCAATGTTTTCACACAATGAGTAAGTTGGTCAAACATGAACGCTTGTGTTCGAAACCCGTGTTGCTCAAGAGTTAACAGATTGTACAATTCTATACGATCTAGTAAGTTAACTCAAATTATCTTTTCAAGTAACCTAACGACTGTTTTGTTTGGACTGACAGGCCGGTAGTTAGATACGATCTGTCTCTAGCCATCTTTAAGTACAGGACTGACTGTGGAATCTTTCCAATCTCTAGGGAGCAGGGTGAGGGAAAGGGATAAGTTGAAGAACATCACCAGTGGTCTCGAAATAATTTATGCGAGAGATGATAGCAATCGTGGATGGAACCCATCAAGGCCCGGTATCTCGCAAGATTTGAGGTTAGTGACCGATGGAAGTACAGGTTTCCCAGTCACATGTACGGGTCTTACGGCTGGTATCTCAGTGGTGTGATTAGGATAAGTATTTTTAACAGTACATGTGGAGTAGACTTCGACAAAATAGTTCGATCATCTCAGCCTTTCGCAGATCCGATTCACCTAGTAAATCTGAATTTTCGTGCAGCAGTAATTAGGGGAATCCCATCACTACGTTTTGTCCTCCGTTTAACGCACGAAAACGATCGTTTCGGACAAGTAGGGTTATTATGTGCCTACTGTTTTCCGTAAATATTACGACATTTAATAATGGTCTTTTTGCATATATTTCTGATTTTTCGGTTTTTACACTTAAGTGATTTGTGTCCTGTTGACAAGAATAATTCCCAGAAGTGTTTCCTAGGCTTCAACAGCTTTCGGGTTTCCTTACTACCCCATGAAGGACAATGTGATGGCCTACGTGTCTTTGATCCCTATCGACCGATCAGTTTTTCGAGATAACATAGTCATTGATTGCCGAAATATTAGCTAGCCAGATATTCGGACGGGATGGAGCAGATAAATATTGTATACCATGTGTCTGAAACCTATAGCAACGCACAGCGTGATCACTATCAGCTGGTGGTGGAAGGTGCTGAATGTTGATGGCATCGTCACAGTGGTGTGTGACGACAAAGTCCAGTAAAGATAGTTCATGTTCGAAGTCAATGTGTGTCGTTTTTGCGACACATTGTAAAAGTGCACACTGAAAAATGGTTGGTAGAATGACGCTATCGAAACCCCTACCTAGAGCTGTAAGCCCTATCCATTTGATACGCAGTGAGTTGAAATCTTTAATGATGAAACAACATTTGGCCTTACTCAATGAACAGATGTATCTTAAGATAAAATAGTCAGCAAGAAAACGCGGATTACGGTATATTCCTCTTATAGTCACAATCCCCTTTCTAGACTTAATTGTACAGCATGCTACCTCACATGTACCACTAACATGCGCCTCCGATGCGATTGATTTTATAGGATTGTATACATAATACGTCCATCATCATAGTAATGAGCTTGTATAAGCCGATTGATTCCTTTGACCTAGCTTCTTGTCGTTTTTGTAGGATACTGGGTATTTGCTAATGTTCAGGAGCTGGTATTCCAACTCCTATTTTGCACTAATTCTAGTTAGTTCCGTAGTTCTTTATAGGTTTGTATATCTTATAATCTGGGTGAGGCAGCATGGTTTCTTGATATCATCAGCTACCACAGTACCAGGCAGGGGATGGTTGGTTGCAATGTGAAAAATAGTATGCAGAAAATTCAAATGCCAAGAGAAGATGACAGTTTGAAGAAATCAATAAGTAAATTACTTAGTTAATCAGTAGTGCAAACTGTGCAAAAAGACCATATATTTGTGACAAGCTTATGTGAATGATCTTATTCCTTTGTCTCATCATTTTGACGTTTGAGATTAACTCTAGAATATCAGTAATGTGGAGTGAGTCATTCTAGTTATTTGACTGATATATTTTGATTATGTGTCAGTCCTTCTGAAGCCAACAGCAATGATATCACAGATAACCTATCTGATTGGGTAAAATGAGAACTATAATGTCAGAATAGTGAGAATCGGAAAGCGAAAAATATATCAACGTTCAGATAAGACTCAAAAGCGAACCATAAGCGGGTTCTACCCATTGCTTTGAAAATTAAAATTGAAATGTTTAAGTCATAAGTCGTGCATATGTGGACATAATTGATGCACCACATTGTCGCATCTGCTTGCACTAACTAATGTATTCATCTAGTGACGCCCGTAAATGGGATGCATGTGTTATCGCATCAGGTATTTATTATTATATACACCTGTTTATTATCACAAAATACGCTAGAAATCTAGCTAACATTGTAAAGGTTAATAAATGCATTTCAGATGTCTCCTGGAGTTAGGTGATTTTAGATTTACCCCCCTGTTTTCATTGCCTCACCAAATGAGATTCTGTCCTCTAAACTTATTTCGTTGCAATTATCATGCCTGTTTCCCGACAAGGCTTTGGTGAGACGTTTACCTTTTCTATGGAATGCTTGATAACCCCAAATTCTTCTTTTTCTTTCTTTAAATATATTTTACACAACTAAACCTACTATCCTCTGGCTATATTACTTGAAAAAGCTTGCTATCAACATAATCTTCCTATGATTTCTTAAGAAGACCTTAACGCGAAAGTTATCCAGGTCCTCTGAAACATAATAGTAAACCTGTGCTTCTATTTTCGATGAGTATACTTTATTCCTTTACACGTCATTGGAACAATGCGTTTTCTAAACATGACCTTTATTTCCATCTAGCAAACTGATATCATGAAACTTATATCCGTATATATTGTGAAGTTCGCGACATTGAAGTCATTTTTCCATAATTAACATATTGATATGTATGCTACGCTGAAGAGTGTGATCACTCATTGTCCAGTGTCCAGTGTCTAAGGATCAGATATTGTTGCATGACAAACATTTTGACTCTCTTGGCTTATGTTAAAATAGTATTAAAAAAAAACAGGTTAATTTTCATCAATAATATTGCTCGTAAAACATCATACCTAACGAAACAGATAATTCAACGTTTAGAGATTTCATTTTATAGTTAAATAAACGCTTAAGAAGTTTAACTTGTGTATATTATCCATAAAATAAGACGTTGTCACGAAGTTGGCATACAAAAACTCAGGGTGGATAAATTTTAAGAGGTAATGGGCCTATATATATATATTTCTTGATCATAACTACCTTCAAAATTACTTCATGAACCGTTGTAAATCAAACTAAGAGGTGATGTTCTTTCATAGATATTAGACGTAACGGCCTTATAGCCAAGTTATCTGTTGGGATTGTGTAAGACAGTGTCTTTTGACAGTGGTCACTAAAGAAGTAATTGAAGTTTAATTGACACATGTCTTTGGAAAATACGAAGGTTTATGCATTTGTTATCGTTCGCGGTAAAGAACAACTTTGTTTTATACCAATAGGTTCCACACAGATTCCTGTGTTGTTCTTGGATATTGGTACACAACTAGTGGTCCAGTTTTTGTAATGAAATGAACATATGACTGGTTGATTCCTTGACAAAGTTATAAGGTTCACTTTTGTGAACTCATGAAATTCAGCTGAACGTATTTACAGGTCAATAAAAGTACGTATTGTTACCTCGTGTGAGATTTTGTCACGGATTATAAGAAACTGGTTTAAAACAATATTCGTTGATGTTATCTGACACATAGGAGCATTGTCAATCGTCCAAAGTTGCTGTTGCTTGTTTACCAAAATAAGTTTGAACATATCGAAATAAATAATAGGCTAGCAGTATGTTATTTCATTCGTTTGTGGTATTATTAACTAACTAGGCTTATAATGTGCCGTGTGCAAAAATGGTTTTACTCAGATAACTGTCATATTTATTATCTTAATTGAACAGAAGTT